GACAAAAGGTTTCTGTTGGGATATGTTGGCTAATAAAGGGGGAGAATATGATGAAACAATGAACAGCCCAAAATGATGGACTATCATTGTGCAATACCAGTAAGTAAAAAACAAGATTATTTATATTATTTTAGCTTTGCAAAGTAATTGAAAAATGACATCCAAGGCATTTTGTTGGATGTCAATGCATGCTGTAAAGAAATCCTGGGATGTGATAAACTTCTCAAAACCCCCACCATTAGTTCTGCTGACAGTGCTGGATCTTCAGAGGGGTTGCTGCTCAGAGGGGTGAGATTTTTAAGTTCAGGAAAAAGCAGTGTCAGGTCTCCTAAACCATTGCTGGAAAACTATGCCCATTCAAAAGCGGGGGTGTGGGCCTGCCAGGGGGAGGGGCCTGCCAGGGGAAGAAGCCTGCCACTCCATGGTTAAAGAAAATAATATCTGAATTTTACATGACCCAGTTTTGTATTGTATTTGGCAAACAATATCTGGTCCAGTATATTTTAAATACTAAGTGCTAAGTTAGGAAAACAATGAGATATTTGTAAATATGATAGACCATTACAATATACTGCTTCTCATTTGAAAAGTCATTTGTGCAAGAAATTATTATTGACCCATAATATGTAAATGATTGAAATACAGAAATTAATATTTGGGTCAACTCATGTATTTTTCAACCATGAAATGAAAAGCTCAGTATTCACATTCCAATCCATACATGAAAGCATTACAGCACTATTACTTGGCTATTGTATTAATTTATTATTGTCTTAGTTAATGACATACAGAGTTATATCTCTACTTTCAAATGAGGAGAAGGCATTGTATGCCACACTAATGTTTCACCCCAGGATGTCCCCTATTCTGGACTCTTTACTGGTGACAATAAGCCAAATTCAGAGCTGATAGGGAAGCAAATAAACAACAGTGCTAGCACGAAGGAGATTTTGGCCCTAATATGCCTTAAAGGTTACACAGGGACGACTGGTTCCTGCATTGCAGCTCCTCTGTTCTACCTGGGCTTGATTTTCATCTCCTTCACTTGAGTTAGTCACTTACCCAGTGTGATGCTTCTTATTTACTGCAACTAATTCAGAAATATAAACACTACAGGATGACTGCATTTAGTGCTGTGAGGCAGTCCTTATTCTAAGGAGTTTCTGCTCCCACTTCCTTTTTTCTGAGTCATGGGGAGTCTGTGGGAGTGTGGGGTTTCTAACTGCACTGCTGGAGTGCTTGTTCTTCCTGAGGGAGCTGCAACTGGCCCCTCAGTCCAAGGTGCCTTTCATTCCAGTGAATTCATTCAGCTCTCATGAAACATGCCAGGCTGTGACTCCAGAGACTCAGGTGCTCTCTGTCTCCCCAGAGGGAGCGTCCACGACCTAGAACAGCAGGCCAGCCTCTCTCCCTGGGGTGGCAAGAAGGCAGCATGTGAGCCTGTGATGAGGCACTTCCCCAGCCACTCAGAGCAAAGGTGCCTCAATAAGGTTGTCATTAAGGGCTAACCTGTGCAAGCTAGACCTATGATATATTTGGCTCTTGGACTGTTATCCACTAAATTTCAAATGCATTGGCTACCAAGCTTAGCTGGATTGAGTCTGACTTAAGGTCAACCATCCAAATAATTCATTAGTATCCTATAAACTGTGTGCTCCATCTTTATGGCTTTTTATTCAAAAGTAAACAATGCCTCATTCTTTGTGCCATCAGGTATTGTATCTCTTGATGGGTCTATCTCCTTTAAGAGATGCATAATTTAAATACAAATAAATGTATGAGTGAAATCCACGTAGAATGATATTCATGACAGACAAAATGAATGAAGAAGAGATGGGCAAAACAATTTAGATAATACCCCAAAGCAAAGCGTCACAGTTAAATCAGGATTAACCCATGAAGCATGATGTGTTTCATGAAATGACTTTGGTATAGTCTAAAATGACAATGACTTGAATTAAGAAGGGCAGTATTGTATCAAGTTTGCTCCAGTGTTCAAACAGGTTACACACATACTAGATCATGTCTAGAGAAAAGAGCCTGACTTTTTTTTTTTTAGTTAAAATTATATATAATTATATTTGCACATATTTTACAGACAAAATATTTTTAATATTTTGCATGCAACTATTTAATATTCTAGATAGAAATAATTTTATGCAGCTTTAAAAGGCAATAGACCCAGCTCTACATGGCTTGCAAGATAAGGTAAAGAAAACCACAGTATAAGGGCATGTTTGGGTGGTGAAGAAAAAATGTAGTACCCCAGCACCACATAAAATCATGGTGAAGGTGAAGCAGCAGTAGTGGTGGTGTTCAGTGATGTAGCCACTGCCCTCGTGGTGTGATTTAGAAACTGCCCACACTGGCCAGCTGTATGGGAGGGGCAACATCCTCCTGGTCCTGCCCGATTAATCATCCCCTGGTTTTCTTAGTCTCTGGTGCAAAAGGCAGACCCAGATGACTAATTCTGGCAATAGAGGCCCTGCTTGTCAACAAGACCTCCCTTTGATAGAAGTGTGATTTGGTTTTAATTTTCTTTCAGCCCATTCATTTATTTGATGCTAATGGCTGACATGAATCATAGCGTTAGAAGGGAGAAGCACGATTTGTACCAGCAGCCTAAAAGGGATGGCATGTCCACCAGGGATGGCCTGAGGGTGCAGTTTCTTGATGCTTTGGACACACCACAAGAGGATTGGCAGAGCGACTCCTCCAAACACAGTGTCCTGCTTACAGGAAGGGCAGCATCAGCTGAGAGCACAGCCAAGGTGGAAGTGGAAAGTGGAGCTATTTTGCAATGGATTCAGTGGGAGTCTCAAACTGACAAGGTGATGATTACTGTGGCCCCAACCAAGTGCAGTCTTTGTTTAACTTTACTAGTATGAGTAAGCCAATTGGCGTCACTGGGCTTGTGTGCTTAAAAGTTCTGGCTGTGTTAAAGTACCTGGTGGGCCAGGGAATAATGGGTGTTTAAGCACCTTGCTGGGCACAGTCCTGGGACAAGCCTCACCCTGACCCTCTGCAAAGTGGGTGTGCTCAGCCCTGGTTGAGCCCACACTATCCACAGCCCCATAATGCTGGGCATTGTCTAAATCACAAAACATGTTGCACTGAGGCAGACAAAACTAACAACAAAATTAGCACGAGTCAGTCCATCTGACTCTGTAAGAAGCTTCAGAGTTTCAAAATTAATCTTGAATTTACCTCTAACCTTGAAAACAAAACTAATTGCAGAATGTAAGACTCCCTGAACATGTTAGGAAACTTGATAGGAATACCTAGGAAAAAACACATACACTTTAGATAAACCCCCCATTTTAATTGTATCAATTCTGCCAATTAATGATAATGGAAGAGCAGCCCAATTAGCTAAATAGCTAATAGTTTTATCAAGCAGAGGCTGGCAATTTAAAGCAAACAAATTCATTCTAATTTTATCCCCTTGCACACCAAGATGTTTAAAGGATAATGGGGGGATCCAATAAAGGATATTGCTCAAATAGAGCTACATTTAAATCACCTAATGGCTTTAAGAGTTTTACCCCAATTAACAAAGAAGAAACATGAACATCATTCAGTGACTTCCAGCATAATCTTCATTAAAGAAAATCTTCATTAAAAAAAAAAAACATATCCTCCAACTAAGGGCAAAATGAAAAACATCACTGACTTTTCCCTTAAAAAAAAGTGACTTCTCCCAAAACAAAGGCTCCTCTGTAACAGCAAAAGTATCGGAGAAAAAAAAAAGACCCTCATGTCTAAGCCTCAGTTTATAAATCATCTTCAAACTGTGGTCATTAGTTTTAACATAACAGTGGATTTGAATAAAGGAGATTGACCTATCTAACATATTTAAGACCAAATCCTACTGTTACCTAAATCTGAAATAAGTTAAGGCTATTGAAGAGAATCAAAAGCCCTTTCAAAACCAATAGCCAGAACAAATTCCCCATGATCATAATTTTGAGGATAAAAAATCCATTAAAGTGATGTCTTTGATTGCTATTAATGAAGCAATCTGGAATAAATCCAGAGTGATCCATATGGATAATCGAATCTCTCATTTTCTCACATTTTACAGATTTGGTCCCTGATTTATGTGACAGTGATGGGCAAAAGGCTCCTTTCCTTTTGACTCTGGGCTGCTCAGCCTGGACAGCTGATGTCATGGTCTCTAAAGGGAGCTGGAAGAACAATGAACTCGATGCTCAAAGAAAGAGGAGCTCAAATAAATCGACTTCCAGCCTCAACCTCATATCCCCAAATACCTCATCTTCACTACAGGTCTTGTGAAGGTTACTGTGGGCTGCAGAAACCACCAAAGAGCTGCTAATTAACTGGCACAAACCTCCCTCCCTCCCTCCTCAATATCCCCCTCGTGGCTCAGAGGTGCTTGGCACTCTCACTGCCCTGCCAGGCTCAAGCAAAGACAGAGGTGTCACACAGGGGGCAGAGGTGGCCTCCAGAAAAGCCCCGGGTAAAGCCTTTGACTGAAGATTAACTGCTTTTGGGGGAAGGTAGAAAGATTTTCCCTTCATTGTTAAGCTCTTGTTTCCCCAGTAGAAGCAGTAGAAGATTTAGGCTTCTCTCTCTCTCTCTCTCTCTCGTTTTTTGGGTTTTTTTTAATAGTGTCACGAACTCAGAGACAACGAAACCCCTCATTCCTGGAGCTGTGGCCAGGTCACTGGAGCTGGGGGCAGGGTGGGTGCAGAAGGAGCCCTGTTCTTCCTTTGCCACCCACAATGCCAACCCCAGTTTTACTGCTCTCATTCTCTGCCCTTTTCTCTTCAGACAGATGATTCCAGCACCTCAGCCCTCAGCACCAGTTTTATGACTTCCACATATACCCTAACCAGCAGCAGTCTCTCCCTTCCCTGCATGGCCTGCTGCCAGTCAGATCACTTCCATGAGCCAGCCTGCTTTTTTCCCTCCCACTGTCCCCCCAGCTCCTCTCCCACTGTCCCCCCAGCTCCTCTCCCACATGGCTGTCATCTTACCTGGTGCCTTGGTTTCTCTTGCTAAGCTGACCATCCCTGTTCTGGTTCCTTCGGATTTGCAGAAAAATTTACCACTCATCCCATCTTTTGAACCAGTAGCACTAAAAAGGAATACAAAGTTTTCGTTTGTGACTTGGCTTTTTTGCTGCCTGTAATCTCTCTCTAGGATAGGTGCCCATGTCCTCCACCTTTCCCTAAAATCAGAATCACCTGTGGTCCGGAAACTGTCACATCCTGCAAAATGCTCCTGACCCCATGCCACAAGGTCAGGACTGGGCCCCCATCTCTGAGCAACAGTGCCTCAGTCAGAATTCAATAACGTACTTGTATTATATGAACTGGTAGGAAGTGATTTTTATTTGAAACCGTATTTTAGATTTCAAGCATGAACAAAAAGTGAGACAGCAGGTCAATACACTTAGTACAGATATCACACTTTATTTTGATCTTTCACCTTCATTATCATCCTAAACTATTTTTGAGTCATATTTAATTTCACAGGTGTAACAGCTCCTTTTCCTTCTAATCTGACTGCACAGTGAAGGCAAAAGCCCATGGGTTCAGGTTTTTTTATATACTTTTATCCAAAGCAAACTTAAGAAGGTCTTTAGAAGTCTGATCTATATGTAAGCAATAGTTACTAACAGAACCATATACCTCTCAAACAAATGAAATTATATATAAAACTTTCACTCTGATTTCACAGAGTCTCCTGTTGCTCCCACTCTTGCAGCTCTTTTCTGCATTTAGTTGCCACTAAAAGATATGCAACTCCAAGGTGGTTTCTTTTACAGGTGCTGCATCTACAAGTGCATGTCAGTCAACATGGATCCATGCATCAGAGGTGTCTCTTTGTAAAAGGATGCCCTTGGGTGACCAGGGTCAGTAAAAATTGCTGGTTTTCCTTATGACAGTACAATTAGGACAGAAGCTGTCTCCTTTCCAGACTCACTAAAAATGAGGTAAACATAAAAAACTAAGATCAAGAACACAAGGTTGAAAAAATCAAACTATTCCAATATTTTATGTCTGATAATTACCAGTAGTGGATGTTCAGAAGCTGAAGTGTAAGAACAGGTGAAATACCGAAATTTGGCCAGTGTTATGTGCCCTCCCTGTAACCGGTGGCCTAGGCAATCTTGTTCAGACTCGCGCAGCATGTGGTGAGATTACCAAAATCTTCAAGCTAGACTCGAGGCCAGTTGTTGACAATTCTTGAGGCTATATAGAGATTACTGTTTTAATGTTAAAATGCAGTTATTTTTTCCTACTTTTTATCGATCTGAAATGATACCTGCAGCTCATCTAAATGATCTTCATTGTTCTTCATTGCCCACAGCACTTTTCCTCAAATCCTTTAATCAGCTTGAATCTAAGAAGTGAAAGCAGACACTTTATCATGAGATTTTTGGGACTTGTGCCGACACAGTAGCTCTGGACGCACCTGTGAAATGTTAGGACAATTTTTAGGAAAATTGGGAGAATTAAAGGAGTTGAACCAGCAATGGCAACATTAATATTCTCTGCTAGTGATGGGAGAGAGCAACAGTTCACTACCAACATATGCCCTTGCAGGTGGGTGTTTCTAAGAGCATAAGTGCTAAGCCCTGACATTTGTAGGATAGTTTGGAGATTGTGGAGCAGGCTTCAGGAAGCATACCAGTCCCAGCTGGGTGATAATCTACAGTGGCCACAGTGCAGGTAGACATCTCATCTAATTTAAGGAGTACGCTCAGACAAGTATTTGGGAGATCCATTAATGAAATTAGACCTGGAAAGCACAGCATCTTTCATCTGTATAGAGGCAGCGAGTAAGATGGAAGGAGCATTTGGGGTGGAATGATTCAGCCTGCTGAGCCCACCTGTCATGGCCCTGACAGAGAAGAACCTTTCCCCCATGAAGTAAAGCTATCAAAAGTTAAGAGGATTTCTTTGCAGCCAGACAGGGTAAAAGAAGGGATATGTGAAATTTTCTTCCCAGCGTTGTTAAGAGTCTCCACTGGCAAAACTAATGGGCAATGTAGCAAATCGTAGTTGTAGTATTTTTTTAAGAAACCAATGTGACTAGTCAGCTCTGGGACACAGATTGCAAAATACAAAAGCAGTTATGAATTCCATTAGCTTTTTTGAAACCAAAGGAATTTTACCACCAGAGGAGAACAAATTCTGCTGCTAGTTATGGTGATCCAATTCCAGTAAAGCTGACAGAACAACTGCAGAATTAATCGGAATAAAGCAAACAGAACTACTACTACTTCAGGTACAGGAGGAATCTGCTCCAAGCCCCTGGAATGCATCTGTGATGAACAGGTATAACTACAGAAATAACTATCTCACTGTGTTGAATAAGAGCAAGGAAGAGAAAGAAACCTTTTTTACCCCTTGAAAAGGAACCCGAACACACAGCTCACTTTTATAAATAAATGTGTTACCTGAAGAACAGTTGCACACACTCATTTACATAGGATTTGGTATACATCTGTGCTCTTCAATAGATTATTCCAGACCTTGAGTATTTCCTATAATTAATGTCAATATGCTTGGCTTATTTGTTATAAAAGAAAAGAGTTTCTAATTAGCCTTTTTGATGTGCAAAACTCCAGTATTTCTCTCTAGTGTTTTTCAGATCATGTTTTTTATTTTACACTACTGAGTGATAGTAAGACTTAGGACTAATTCTGAAGATGGTTTAAATTGAAGATGTATGTGAGAACTAGGCCTTGACCTGGCACTCACCACGGGGTAAGGTCCTCCTGCTATAAGCAATTTCAGAAGTCCACATATTATCAACTGGCCTTGTGACAAGTCAAGTATTCCAAATTCCTTTTAAATTCAACCAACACTTTGCATATTTCCCTTTATTATAGTGACATACACAATTTACCTTTAAACCCAAGCAAACCCTACTTGCCTTCGCTGAACCTCAGGAGAGTCTTTGGGAAGAACAAAACCTTCACAGCAGTGACATTCAGAGGCTTATCACAACACACCAGGAACACAAGTAAATCTCAAGCAGTAGAAAAGAGTACAACTGTAGTGAGCTGCCTTGATGCAGCAATAAAGAAGGTTGAGGTGAGAATTTTTTTAATACCAGTCAACCCTGCAGAAAGACCAGACAAATTAAGAAGTTTTTGCCAAGTCAGAGGATAGGTTCTATCAGCAGCATATAACATGAGGATGGAAAGTTGTGTGCAGACTCCTATCACTTTCCCCTCTTTTTCTTGGGAGGAACTTAGCACTGAATTTGCATTTAAGTAAAACCTTGGCACAAGACTGACTGGATGCCTGTTGGAAGCAACTGGAATATTTTGTTTTTACTTTGAATCTTAGATTAAAGTCTAAATGAGAACAGAGCAAGGCCTGATCTGCAGAGGCATACTGAAAAAATAAATTGTGCTTCTCTATTAAATTGGACACCCAAAGCACTTTATTGAATGCTGAAACGAGATGTGAAATTCCATGACAAGCTCAGGTTTTCTTTCCTGTGCAGCTTTCATTTAACACAAAGAGGCTTATTTTGCATATCATGGGGCCCTTGATCCTGAGCATTAAATATAACAGCTTCCCTAGAAGCTTTATAGCCTTGGCAAGACATTATAGATTGGCCTTGTTTGTTGATCTGTTAATTCAAACAAGAGTAGAACATTTCTAAAACTTTGGCCAAATTAACATCTTTTTGACTGTTCCAATGAGCTAATATCACAGTAGAAACCTGGAAGCAGTAGTCAAGTCTTTGATGATTTATTTAGTAGGAGTCATCTTGTAGCTAATTGTCTGCCGTTTTTAACCTCATTCATGTGCGCTGCTGATTCTTCTTCCATCATCTTCGGTTTTCTCCTCAAGCTTTCTTACATCTCTATATTTATAATTTCCAGATGGCAACTCAACTTCATCACAATATTTTTTATGAACTTGCCAAACCACATCCAAGATTTTCAGACTCAAAAGTAAAAGATAAAATCATCCTTAGAGGGCACCTCACCCTTCTGCACCCAGGCACATGAAAAAAAAGACAGCTTTAGGCTCTGACATTTTACATCAATGATGAGTCACAGCTTAGGGTTTTTTGGTTTGGTTTGTTTTTGGTGTTGGAATTTTCACCTTTCCATTCTTCTCCTGGATTTCTCACCTTGAAGCCATATCAAAAGAGAATAAATACTGGTGTGCCATGTTTTCTGTTTGTACTGCATAAGTTACCATCTCTGTAGTACTGGTCCCAGTGACATGCATACCTGTCAGCCACTGCAGATGAACCACAGGAAGAATGAAGGATGACCAGGCAGGGAAGTTTTAGCTGGGAGTGCAGCAGACTTTTACATCACACTGGCAGTAAATCTTAGCAGAGATCAGAATTAACTCAAATGTTCAAGACATTTGATGGCTGTAACCTAAATCTTTCTGGGTTAGTTCAAAGAAGAATCTGATTCACTGTGTGGTTCTGTTTCCACTGTGGCTTAAGGACTCTCCTGATGTTTGTTAAGTCATAAAAATATAACCGTTCTAGTCACATTTCTGGTTAATCTCATGTGATTCTTCATGAGATAGAAAGTCCTTCCTGGTGATTCTCTGCCTTCAATTATTCTGGTGCATGACTCAGCAATTGTCACATGTCTGTTTTGGGGTGGTTTTTATGCCATGAGTAAATGAAGGCCTCTTTATGCCTGGTTTCTGTCTCCTATCTGTATGTTTAGGAAGAAGGCTGAGTCCCTTGGGAGATGGAAGATACTCTGTTTGGGCAATATTATTACCATCATCTACTATGATCCATGCCTGTGGGAAGATATTTTTAAAAATAATAAGTTCTATTTTGCTAATGTAGCTATTGTTTAAATATAAAATATAATTAGAGTATCCACCCAGGGTGTATGTTGTTGTGTAACTTTATAATACTACATCTAGATGAGTGTTGGCATTCTACCTATGTACTTAACCACACCCAGGAATGCTGGTATTGCACAATTACACACATCCTGTTGACTAATTACATAATAATTAGTATTTTTAGTATTCAAAGATGCACTCAAGTCAGTTGTGCAAGATTTTATGTCACAGCAAATTAAAGACAAAGAATAACAAATGTATCTAGTAAACAATGCTGTCCAGATAGCTTACTGAACCTGGACAGAATTTCCAGCAGACAGCATGTAATACTTCATACTTCATTTTAAAATATATGACATTTTCTACATGTTTGGCAGAAACCCCCTCCCCCCCTTACTTTGGATTATACCTTTTTTATAAGACTTTTGAAGTAATTTTGTATTCAAAACAGTTAGAATTTCTGTAGTCTGCCTCCTTTTGAGTTATGATCACTTCTCACAACCAGAGATAATTTTTGGCTGAAAAGGCACTGTGATGTGCCTAGGGAAGGAATATTTTTTTTTTACAATGGCAACTCTGGAAGAAGTCTGGAAAATGCGCTTTTAGTTAGCAATTATTTACAAAATATCCCAAATATTGTTGTTTTAAGAAAGCACTACTGATTAGCCCTTGCCACTTGGATTTGGAACAGATTTTCCATAAGCCTGAGTGGAGTGTCTTGATTTGGTCTCTTAGTTCTCATGATGTTGATGAGAGACTGGATGAACAGTCTGGCTCACCATTTGGATTTGGGGGATTTAAGAACAGAGACTTTTTGTTGCAATCTTGTCTTACATGAGCTTAATTTTTTTTTTTTTTTTTTGTGTAATATAACTTCTAAACTTGCTGTTAATCTTGATTCAGTCAAAATTTACAGAAGGTGGCACAGAGGCCAAGCCCTGGGTCTTGCCTAGGGCATAGTTTGATTAGCTGCAATGCACCAAATGGATTGAATATGATGTTTCAGAGTGTTTTTGGTCTGCCATTGCTAGTTTCCCTGGAACCCTCAGTTGTGCACATAGACCTTTATGATGAGAAAGATGGAAAATATGGACTATGTTCCCACCTCCAACTGTGTTTGTGAGGCAAAAGAACAAAAGATATTTTGAATATAGCTTCATTTTTTTTCTCTTCATGAATTTGATTTCTAACTTGTCAGTTACTGAGGCAGCAAATGATTTTTCAAGACCTTGAAAACAAACCACTCCCCAGGAGTTTCTGTTTAGACTGTTTCTTTTTTCATAGGGCATGAGGTTATAGTGCAAGACCAGCTTCTTTCAGCTACTATGAAGAGTAACTTTTTGCTGCCCTAGCAAGTTAAAAATTGGTATTTTAGTCTGAACATTTGCCCTTGTCAGGCAGTTACTTTTTAGTGAACTAACATCTCTATGAAAGCAAAGTGGGGCTGCTTGGAAGGAGAATGATGTGAGACTGCTGAAATAAATGACATTGTTCAGTTTAGGGACACATGCAAGTAACTTTATAACTGCCCCTAAAGCCTTAGCATCCCCTCTACCCCAAATATCAGCAATAAAGTCAGGACAGTACTGCATTTCTCTGCTGCTGGCAGATACTTAAAAAGTGGCCAGCTTTCTGAATGTGTAATTTGGTCTCCTGTTACTTCTAAAGGCTCTTCTATGTTCACTGCATTCTTTCCTGGGGTGCTTTACCCATGACTTGTAGACAAGATTTTTCAGAGGGACAGGGTAACTATCCTCACTTGTTTATCTTGGTCACCACTGGCAAGCAAACAGCAACCTGATTTCCTACTGAGAACCAGTGTTTCCTCTGAAAGAGTTGCTTCAAAAAGTGCTCTTCAAACATAAGGCCACAGTTGACATGCTTGGTCAAATCCCCCTTTTCCCTTCTTTCCTAAAGAAAAACAAAGCCACAATGAATTTACACACCTTTCTATGTCCCTCCAACAGAAATGCTGTGGCTCATCTGCATATATGATGAGCAGTATTTCATTATCGAAAATAATCCATAACAAAAAAATGCACCTGGCCAGCAACATAAGACCAAGCTGCTTCCTGATGTGATTTTAAATGGCTGAGATATTAAACACTGAAAAACGGGGTTTATAATGGAAATACTGACAGACTATTAACTATAGCAGTGCTGCTCTAATAAATGAAATAGCCTGTCGTAATCTCTAATTCATAAATATGCAAATACAAGGCAGAGGATTTGCTCCAAAGGATGTCTCTATAATTTTAACTGACCTTTACTGATACTAAATGAGCCTGTTGCTTCTGGTTTTGTGCATTAAATAGAAAGTACAGGGAATCCTGTCTCTCTACATCCAAGGCCCACTTCAGCTCCCATAAGTGACAAAGGCAAAAATCCTTGCTACCTTCAACAGGAAAAATCTGGCCCCAGAACATTTAGAATGTGAGACACCTGGCATTAAACTGAACTCTTGACTGTACTTGATTTTAATTCTGTTCTCATCTGTGTTAATTATTATTATATTAATTCTTCTGTTTGAGAGAAATTAAGCACACATTTGCCCCATGTGTCAAAGAGCTTGACCTGCCAAAAGGCACTTACTTGCTCAGTGATAAACAGACCATCAACACAATGATATAAATGTTGAATTTTAGCCAGTTTCCTGTTCTGCACCAAATGGAAGTAAATCCACTGACTTAATATTTAATAACCTAAATGTAATTTCTTTTTTTCTGCCTCACATTGCACAGTAAAGAATTGGATGGCTAGCAGTTTTGCAAATTCCCAACCCCTAATTATTTTAAGCTATTCATCCTGGTATCTGTCCATTGATGCTCAGCCAAATTGCCAGCAGGGGAGAGATCTGTCCAATCCAGGAGCTAAATGAGTCACTGAGAGTCAATCTGTTTTTTTCCCTTGCTGCTGGGATTTCCTTGGGTCCTGGCCTCTCTCTGCTCCAATCACACAGACACAGCTCCAGGCGTGGGTCCTCTTTGGCTTGAGCTGCCTCCTGTCTCCCATGTCTGCTCTGCTCATCACAGCTGCTGATGGCTCTCGCCGGCTGGCCACACAAGACCAATACTTCCACCACACTGCTCTTACTGCTCTTGCTCTGAAGGAAATGAAGACATCCTGGCCTTGTTGAATTTGCTGATGAAGTAATACATCAGGTATCTAGATGGAAAGCAAACCACATGAATAAAATGTGTCATCTGGGTTAGATACTAATTTATTTGCCTTAAGTTCTGGGAACAATATCTGCAGTTTTTCCAGAGAATTTGGTTAACTTCCATAGAAACTGAATACTAATACGATTTCTGTAGCATGGAAGACAAATAGGAAACAGAGAAAAAATAGACTCATCAGAAATATTAGCTGCTCATTATTAAAATATCTGACGATGACACAAATAAAATTTATAAACAGGAACATTTAGAGCCTAACTTTTCACTAAAAAGCAAATTCCCTGCTTCGTCCCTTTTAGGGACAGGATTCAATTACACAGAAATATGCAGCAGACTTAAGGACTGCATGTAAGATTAAGATAACTGGTATTTCATGGTAAATGATTAAATTAGCTGACACAGTTTTATCCTGAACTTTGCCATTAAAACTGACATTTTTGTGCCACGCACATTGTAGGCTGCTGGTAATCTAAACTGCCTTTCTTCTTTCAAAGACTTTAAATAGCTGAAGAACTCTTGTTCTTTACTCTATTTGCAAATGTCTGGAAAATATATCTACAACATAACAAGATGAACTAAGCACAGGACTTTTTTTTTTCCTCATCTATCATACAAATACCTTGAGAAAACAGCAAGGAGGTTCCAAATGCCCAGATTAAGCTCTGCAACATGCACTTTAATCAAGTAATTTATGTGACTCTGCAGAGATGAGAACATGCTGTCCTCCTCATGGTGAGTGAAAATAGAGAAATGACAGAAGTCTCTTACTAAGAATTTAATTATTCCTAGTATACAATTTTAAACCACTCAATGTTTATTCCTCTTCTTTTCAGGCTTGCTTTTTTTATGATGGCAGGAATTACGGGAATAATTTTGATATAAACCAGGCGTAGAAGTGTATGGATGAAATGTTGTCAGAGCTGGCTTTAGCCACTGCCTTTCAGTTGAGTTAGCTGGGAAGGAGCAGCTCAACTCCTCGGTGAAGATACTCAGTCTTCAAGCAAAGTGCAGGCATGTGTCACTGCACACAGCAAAGACCAGTCTGATCAGAGACATGAACTATGAGAGAAGCACAGTTCCTGAATATTGCACTGAGAGAGCACCAGACTGGGTGGGAAGAAAAGCCACAGAGGCACTGCAGAAATGAAGAGAGGTGGCAGGACATGCAGCCAGTGCACCCCTATGAAAGGCCAAGGGTGAGCATAAGGAGTGGGCTCTGCCTGAAAGAGGTGCCACAGGCAATTGGATGAACTTATTTTATTTTTATAGCTGTTTGACTTGTCCAGTGCTCAGAAAAACAGGTCTTCCTTCTTTTTTTGTAGACACATAGAATTACATGAAAGCAGTGTGTGACCCTCACACTTTCTCCATGTAATTAGTACAACCTAGAATACCTCAAATTTTTAGCCAGCCATGAAGCTCAAAAGAAGTAGCTTTAAGAATACAAAAGCATAGGGACTAAAATACTAGTCCAGAACAGTGGTCCAGCATGTTCAGTCTTTCAGAAACAGGATCTTTACACACTTGTGAATATGATGCAAGAGGAACGACAATTATTATTGTCGACTACCTAAATGGGACACTTAATTTTCCACCCACAGGCTCCAAAAGTTGAAGTTTTATGATGAAGTCATGCATGGCACAAAGATAAAAGAAGTCTCCAAACACTGACAATATAATTTGGAGAGGTAAAGACCTGTCTCTTACATGAACTCTGTACTAGTAACCAAGATCTTTGCTGGAAAAGGTAGTGGAAGCTCAACAGACACCAAAAAAAATGTGAGTTTTATTCCAGAAGAGAATTTGGCCCTTTATTCTTAGTGCAACTTATCAGAGGTGTGTGCATAACATGAATGCTATATAATTTTGCTGTGGCAAAATCTTTGGATGCCTTGTTATCCATGAACAGTTGAGCAAGACTGTGGGCTCTTTCTGTCTTGGATCTGTTCTAATAAAGAAGAAACACAGCATTTTACACAGCATCTTCCCCAGCAGTTAAAAACTGCAGTTTATACAGCACCTGCACAATCACACCATTATCATCAAAGCATGACTTTCATCCCTGAAAATCATAATGGTCATGAAGTCAAAGAAAGGCCCACAAAGACAGTTTCACTGTTTGAGAATGCATACAAATGTTGAATATGAATGAAACTCAATCTGATTATCAAAAAATTAAACCTGTATGATGATCTCACAAATTATGCTATTAAATTCAAAATTCTCATCTCTCCTAAATATTTTTTGTCTTTTAAAAGATACAGCTACCTTTACTTTCTCTTTATATGTTTTATGAAAACCTTTCACAGCAGAGGTTACATTAATCATCTAGCTTTCTTATTCCAAAATGTTCCACTGATCATTCATTATTAACTGAGTAAAATGAAGGTAGCTATGATAAATTTTGGTCTATCTCAAAGTATTAGAAAGGATATGAAAACATCTTGTTCATAGTGCTAACTCTTAGATAACATATGAGGGAATAGGCCCAGTTTTTTCACTGTCACACACAATGAGGCTCTTAACAACCCAATCACTTGTTATTAGTTTTTTTCCCAATTCCTAGGCACTAATAGTTTCAACCTGCTCTTCCACTTAGCAGAAGAACATTCAAATAATATAACCATGAAAGAACTGGATGTGGGTAACCGGAAGCCTATCAGTATCAGAGATTAGGATCCTAAAAATTGTCTAGTTCTTTTTGTAATTAATGTATGTTCTCTAAACAGATCTACATACATCTATGCCTTGATGTGAATGCTCTGGAGAGGAAATAAGGAGTCTGTGGCTGCTCTTAGATCTGGAAGTGATGTCTTTCAAAACATTTCAGTAATTGGTGCTCTTTTATAAAATATACTGCAATATAACTGTACACAAAACTTGAAGCGCTCCTTTTCAAGTGGCTGAACACAGGAATGAAATACAACCTAGAGAGGAATAGAGAGAACTCAGAAAATAAAAAGGAACTAATCCCTATTAGTGACTTGAGATCATGGATATAACTTGCTGCTTTTCATTTGGCTATCTAGACAGATGGGCTAGACTGAAGTCAGCGGGGCTACTTGTGATGTACTCCACAACTGAACATATTTGGAAAAAGCTGTTATACTAAGTTAATTATTTACATCTTAAAATGCTTTCAGTTTTGCTATAGCCACAACTCAGCTTGGGTTCTCCACAGCCAGAGAGGGTCAGGCTATATGTAAGAGAAGCAGACAGGGACAGAAGCTGTGCAGTGTTGGCCATGGGCTTAATAAGAGCTTGATTCTGTACCAATGAAATCAACAGGAGTTTGGCTCTTGTTTGCAATGGGAGGTGGATCAGCATTTTATGCCAGCTGTTCCCTGCTGGGTAGGGATAATCCCTTTGAAACAAAATATTTAACTTGTTCTCACTCTGTTGTTGTAAGAAGGCTTCCCATGAAAATGCTTTCATGAGAATTAAAAGGTGTGTCCCATTTTTATTTCCAAATAGCACCCCCCTGTAGTATATAGTTGCTGATCAAAAAAAAAGACAAACCCCAAAATCCCCCACCTGCACCTAAACCCACACAAGTTTACAAAAAATTTTACAGAAATGAGTTACAGGATGGAACTGAGTCACCTGTCTGTTCTGCTGGCCATGACAGCACTTGCACTTTCCTCAGCCAGGAGATGCAGCATGGAAACATGTTAATTCAAACAGCTGCAATTGAAGTGGGACCCCGTGGGCAGAAGTGAAATAACTGAGGTTATTAGTTATTAATTATTTGCTGCATGCAAATAGAAGATGATAAAAAATCCAAACTTCCAACAATCATGAAAGGAGTCATGAATAACAGTGTGGGAAAAGTATGAGAGATGATGGGAGTTAATGAAGGACAGCATTAACGATAAAAACTTGTACATGTGTCCTCCAGTCTGGATCTGAATACAGCATTTAGTCTCAGTTGCTGTTTCTGCGTTTATTTTTCGTGTTTTACAGTGAAAATGAGGTTCTAAAACATGGCTGATGCCCAGGTTGCTCTACAGATCAGCAGCAACAGTGGCTCCTTCTAGTACCTGCATGTGTTGGTCAAGTTCAAAAAGAATGTGCAAGTTGGGCCCATTTACACCAGCTCTCAGTTTGGTTCACTCCCTCTCACTCCTCTGGCTGAGGTCCATTTGGTTGACAAACCTGGAACATAAAGTTTGCTAGGTTTTATAAAGCAATTATTTAATTTAAAAAGTCTTTCATTGCATTCTAATGGGATTTCCATAAAATACAGAGTCCTCCACAATATCCAGGGAACTTTAATTTACACTATAAACTACGACATTTTTTGAAGAGGTCTAGAAGACCTAAAGAGAGGAAACTTCCAGAGACAGAGCTGTTTGGCCTGGCAACCAGGAACTGAGCCTACTGTAGAGTTACATCCTCCAGAAGCAGGAAACGTATGGAATCATTTGAGATTAAGAGACTGTGACATTTTTATAGAATGAAAGGAGGAACTGAGAGGTACAGTGACAGAGCCGGGAGCTGCAGCTGGCTGGCTGTTCCACAGAGCATTCCCCTCACAGATTTTTATGACTCTCCTAGCCCTAATATTAAACACTTGACCTTTTTGTCCAATACTATTTTATATTATTAGGTTGGATGATTAGTTACTAAATATACCATCTATAGTAAATAGGAAATTGTGTATTCTGATGCTTTTAGTCTTAGACCTTTCAGGTATTGGTCCTTTGGCATTTAATGTTAGAACATTGAGTGCTCTTATATTAAGTCCCTTGGTAAGCAAGAAGTGCACAGCATTTTCACATAGGGCAGAGGGGTTTCTGAGGCAGCACTACCAGAGTGGAGAATGCTGTAAACATTGTGAAGTCAGGGATAACTAGGAGCCAGCTGATGCTGAATGATACACCTTAATCTACAGCCTAGGAATATATCCATTTACCTTTTAAAATTCTGTAAACCAGAACTTTTCAAATGACTCTTCCCTGTGCCTCTCTACCTGGTGAACTCTTCTAT